GTCCCCGCAGCGGGGTGGCTGTGGTCAGCATGCACGTGTGCTTGCAACTATGCACACATGCACACACACATGCAAGTGTGCACATGCACACATTCATATTCGTGCATGTGCACACACGCACACTTGCACGTGCACAGAGCCATTGCACGTGCGGATCTGCTGGGAAGGAGATGGGCTGGCGCGGGGGTCTCTGATGGAGCCCGTTGTGCTTCCAGGGGACACGGCAGCCTACAGGGACGGCGTCTACTGGATCAAGGGCCGCACCTCGGTGGACATCATCAAGAACGGCGGCTTCAAAATCAGCGCCCTGGAAGTGGAGCGGCACTTGCTCGCACACCCGCACATCACAGGTAGGGGCTGCTGGCATTGCCCGCGACCTGGGCAGGGGCCCGACACGCTGCCCTGGCTCTGGGCACGTCCCTGCCCAGCCCTGCACCGCAGTGCCCACTTCCATCCCATGCCGGGTCCCTCTGTGCCACCGCCTGCAGCGGTGCCACTGCCTGCGTCCCCCCCGGGACCACCAGCGCTTGGGGGGCTGCTCAGCCSGTGGGCTCTGCTCTCCCCCCAGATGTGGCCGTGCTCGGGCCCCCGGACATGGTGTGGGGGCAGCGGGTGAGCGCCGTGGTGCAGCTGCGCAAGGGGGAGATGCTGTCCGTGAAGGAGCTCAAGGCCTGGGCCAGGTAGGGCCGCGCGGCASGGCGGGCAGCCGGGCACGGGGCTGCGGCACCCGCAGGGCGGCACCCGGGAAAGGAGGGAGGGAGGAGCCGGTGGGAACAGCCAGGGCTGCCAGACGTGAGGAAGAGCTGCGGGGTTTATTGCTAATATTCCCTTAGCAAAAAGAATGGGATAATAGTAATAGTAGCTTCTTCCTTTCCCTGGCACCTCCCTCCTTCAGGCTGGGGATATTTTTGGCAAGGCTGGCGCTATTTCACGAGCAGTAGGAGCTCTCGTTTCATCAGGGGCTGCGCAGGCAGCCAATTAAAGATTTCCCCCGGATTTGCAAAACTCACGGCTGGGGGGCTGTGGTTTGGGCGATGCGAGGGAGCCGCCGCGCCGAGCAAACARCTCCTGGGTGGGGAGAGACACAGACAAAGAGCCCCGGGGCAATGCCAGGGACACGGGTCTGGTCACTGGTGTCCCCAGGGCTGCCCACAGCAGGGGCAGCTCTGCCTCCCTTGTGCTGATGCCCTCTTGCAATCTCCCCCCACGACACTGGGCACCACACGTTGCAGCGGGTAGAGACCCCATGGCTGGGCTGGTACGGAGGGTGCTGCACCCAGGACCCTCRCTGGGCTCCAGGACGGGGATGGGGAGCGGGAAGGGAGCGATCCGGGATGTGCTGTGTGGTGGCTGGTCCCTGAGCGTCGTRCTGGGGACAGCAGTGCCTCCCGTGGAGCCCCTGGCCTCGCTCCCGGGCCTCGGGAGCCTCCTCAGCCTCTGCCCGGGGTCTCCACGTGCCCCCGCGCCGCGTCCTCCCCCTCGCCCTGTCCCTCCCCRTTATTGGAGACGTCACTTGCGTTCGCCTGGCCCTCTCCTCGCTCCCTGGCAGGAGACACATGTCCCTCTTCGGAGTGATTCATTTTGCCGCGTTCGCCTCCAGCCTCACTTCCCGGTGACAGGCGCCATCCCGAGTTAGAGCGTCCATATGGCAGGGGACAGCGGCGGGGGGCGCACACTCGGCAGCTCCCGTTAGCGTCGGTGCCAGGGCGGCCCCGGCTCGGTGACACGCAGGCAGCAGGAGCTGCTCGGGGGCGCAGGGACTTGCTGGGTTTGTTCCCTGCTCCCCCGGCCCCCAAGGAGCGCGGAGCGAGGCCACCGCGTCCCTGGGGACGCTCCCGTGCCGCAGGGGGAGCATGGCGCCCTACGCCATCCCCACGGAGCTCATCGTGGTGGAGGAGATCCCGCGCAACCAGATGGGCAAGGTCAACAAGAGGGACCTTCTGCAGCGCTTCTACCCGGGCTAGCGGGCGGCCCGGCCGCCGGGCGCCCTGCGGCGGCACCGCCGGCAGCGACGAGCGCCCCGGGGTCTTGTCCTCGGAATAAAGTGCAGGAAAAGCAGGATTCGTCCCTGTCTCCTCCTTGGCCGAGCTGAAAGGAGCGGAAAACTGCCCGTGGGAGCTGCTGGATGCCTGAGAATCGTGTCTGCCTCCCAACCCTTCCCGTGGCTCCTTCACCGGCCCCACGGTCTGGTTTGGAGGGAGCAGGGAGCAGAGTGAGCCCCATGGGAGAGGTGCTCCCACCCGGGGTGGGGATGGGGACAGGGACAGGAATGGGGATGGGATGGGAATGGGGACAGGGATGGAGATGGGGACAGGGGCAGGAATGGGGATGGGATGGGAATGGGGACAGGGATGGAGATGGGGACAGGGACAGGAACGGGGATGGGGATGGGGATGGGATGGGGATGGAGATGAGGACAGGGACAGGAATGGGGTTGAGGACAGGGAGAGGGACAGGGATGGGGATGGGATGAGGATGGAGATGGGGGCAGGGACAGGGACAGGGATGGGGATGGGGACAGGGATGGGGATGGGAATGGGGACAGGGACGGAGATGGGGACAGGGCTGGGGACAAGAACGGAGGCCGCGGGTGCACGGGCCTCACCGCGGTGCAGAGCCGGGCGCCGGGTCTGCGTCAGGGACAGAGCGGGTCCTTTGTTAAAACATCAACAACGCAGTAAATTCTTTAACTTACCAAATAGATCAATATCAAATTATCATGTCTCACATTCATAACTCTTAAGCAAGCAACAATGGAGAGAGACAAGGTCACTGGAGAATAAATAGCAGCAAAAGCTCTTAATGATCTATCATCCTCGACAAGCCCCGGCACCCAGCACCAGCCCGGTGACAAGATCATTAATAAAACTCTGCAGGAACGCTATCGATTGCTTTGATGGATGATCACAGGTAGCAAATACTGTAAAACACCTGGTTGTCACACACCAAAAGGCGCAGTGGGAGCCAGGCCGCGGAGCGGGGACGCGGTGCCGCCACCACTGAGTTTGCTCCTCTCGGGTGCCTGGGGCAGCGAGGGTGCTCAGCAGCGAAGCCTTTGGGTGCTGGGGACAGCGGAGGCAGCCCCAAAACCGGCCCCATGGGCCATGCTGGGGCAGCTGGTCCCTTGTGCACGAGTCCCGTTGTCACCGGGCGCATCCCTGGGTGCATCCCGGGCGCTGCGGGCGCTTCCCTCGCGAGCCGCACCACGCGTGCACAACCATTCAATTACCCGTAACGCCGCGGGCTMTTAAGCCATCAATCTGCTTCATTAAGGGCTGCCAGGCCCTTGCCCGGCATCCCGGTGCAGTACAAGCACTAAAGMAGCAGCCCCCCAAAGCGGCGCCCGTCGTGCCCGGCCCTGCGCACGCTTCGTAGCCGACGGCAGCGGTTACGGCCGCGTGAGACCCGGAGCGCCGGGAGCTGCTCCACACGCAGCTTGTGGTGCCGGTCTGGACTGGGCACAGCGGGGACAGGCAGGTCCCAGCCCCTGCTGAGCTCCCACTGCCAGGACTGGCTGTCCCCRTGTCCCAGGACCAGCTATCCGTGTCCCCGGACAGGTTGTCCCCCACATGCCGGGACAGGTTGTCTCCTGTGTCCCGGGAGAAGCTGTCCCGCTGTCCCACATCCCCGGACACACCATGCAGGGCCGGTCAGAAAGCGGCACGCGAGGGACCCGGCTCATGTCCCTGTGTGTCCTGCAGCGCTCAGTGAAAGATGCCCAGGGCTGAGGAGGAAATTGGGGCACTGGATCCCAGAAAGGGGAGCTGGGGGCAGGACGCCAGGGAGCCCTGGTCCCGCGGGGCCCCGGGCAGCCCCTGTCCCACACGGGGCAGCCGGGGCTCGGCTGTGTCCCCAGGGCGGGGGTCCCACGCGCACCCCGCAGCAGGGCGCCCGTGCAGACCCTGCGACCTGCAGCATGCGAGYGCGCAGGGCAGCGCGGCGCCCGTGCCCGGGCCGATGCTGCCACCTGGTGCTGCAGCCTCGCCGCGGTGCCCGGGCCGAGCACGGCGCCGGTGTCCCGGGCTGCGGCACCGCTGCTCCGCCGCGCGCCCGGTGCCGCAGCGCGCCCCTGCACGGGCCGTGCCGGGCTCCGCGCTGCTGCGCGTGCAGCACCCGGAGAGGCACCCACGTGTGGGGCAGCTGTGGGCACGGGGGCTGGAGCTGGGCCCTGGCATCGCCCCACGGCGCAGGCGGCGGGTGCCGCGGTGGCCGGTGCAGCCGGCAGCGCCGCCTGGCCCCGCTCCAGCRCCCGCCGCGCCGCAGATGGCCCCGGCACCTGGCGGCCTGGCCAACGCTGCCAGCCCCGGCTCTGCTCCGTGGGGCTCCGGGAAGGGGGGGAGGCCGGCGGCTCCCGCGGGACACGCATGTGCAGCCCAGCACATGGGAAACATGCGTGTGCAAGTGTGTGCAAACACACGCATGCGTGTCTGTGCACTCCTGCAGCATGGGAGTGTGTGCCCGTGCACCCCCACRCATGTGCCAGTGCTTGTGCACCCTCCTGTGCATGCCAGGGCTGCTGGCAGCCGAGACAGGGGCCAAGGTCCCCTCTGCGTGTCCTGCCTCGTGGGATCCTGTGGCCAGCACCATTGCTGGGCCCAGCAGCTGCTGGGCGCTGCCGCCCGGCCGGCATGGCGCGACATTCCTGCGGGATGCCGCCCGGCACCGGCCCGCGGCGCCCAGCCCACGACAACTGCCGCATTCCTGCCCCAGAGCCACCGCGGCGCCCGGCCCGGCCGCCCATGCACCC